TTCCCTCTCGGCGTGTTCTTCGATCGACTTGTGTAGCCCGAGCATTTTAGTCGAGCTTCAAATTCAAGGTTCTGAGTAGTCTGTAAGCATGAATTGAAGAAGTTGTCCTTGGAATTTTTTACACAAAAATTATAACACGTACATTTTTTAATTTTTCAACTATGTATTATACTTTGAGAAAGGTATATGATTTTTTTTCGTAATTACAACTTTCATATATTAGTTATAGAACGCGGCTCGCGTCTCGCTGACGTGCATGATATATGCCGCTTGTAGTGATCTGAAACGAACAAATAAATAAGATTCTTATTTTATATGAACATAACTATTGCCTGAAGGCTCATTGGATAAAACATGGCGGGATCGAAAAACAAATTGTAGGATCACAATTTTCTATCTCGTCATTTTGTCAAGTTTTGATTTAGCTAGCCTTCACTTTATGAACCTTCAGACAATAGCCACGTTCATTCTTATATCTTCTCTACTTATTTGTTCCAGATTACTACACGAGAAAAATAATTCCATTAGTGCAACTCTGAAGTGAATTTTTCTGTTACTTAGGGATCAGATAAAAAACATGATTGTACAGACAGAAAAAAATTGAAGGTTTTCCCTTATCAGTCAATTATTCTCAGTTATTTCAACCGAGTTTTAATGCAGCTGAATGTTCAGACAAATGTTTTCGGTCACAATGCCAGATATAAAACTTCCCGTGAACGAGTTTTTCGCCTGGTCCTTAGTTATCCAAACCGAAATTTTTTCTGTGTAGAACTAAAATGTATGTGTTAATTATGTAAAAAATATAATTATAAAAAAGAATCATGTAACTCTTCCTCAAGATACAATGAAAACGCACTGAAAAGTAAAAAGAAAATATTATTACAATGTCTTTGTAAAAAATTCCAGAGAAACTCTAGTTCATGCCTGTAAACTATCCTTAGAGTCCTTAAAATGACATCATTCATACGTTGTTCTATTCAGTTGACAACTCGTTTTCACTGAATTCAAAAACTGGACTTCCCCTTGGAAAGAAAAATCTGGCCTTTTGTCTATTATCGTCTTACAGTTCGATTGGCGTACAGTTCTCTAGTTGTAATGATTCGATTTGGTTCGTCGATAATTTCCGTGAAATCTCGAGTCGTCGCGATGATGTTGCCGCGGACGAACCTGAAACACCTTGTAAGACTTAATTTTCATCCTGCCTTCTCTGCCCCTCGTGTCTCTGTTATTCTTGATTCTCCGTGGTACATGCAAACGATCGTCCGGTCGAGCGAGCGCGGCATCGGAGGACATGGATTCTGTGCGATAATGGCTGATCAACGAAGCGATGTCCAAAAGCTGGAAGTGCCGGTTAATGGCGTGAGTATGCAGCTGTCGGTGGATCCGCGTCATCATCTGCGTGATTGGGATCAAACCGAGCGCAAAAGAATCCTTCGTGCTCCGGTGCCTCTCCATCTGATGGCGACCGACAATTCGACGCGCACTGTACTTCTCGATTAATTAATTAACGAACGTCCCCTTCCCGTCGCAAGTCGCGGTTGGGAGTTGCTCGATTTCTGACACTTTTCGCCGGCTTTAACGAGAGACAAGCGAAATCGCATCGACGGTTAGCAAACCTCCTGTTAGATTCAACGTTGACGTAGCGTAGGATCTTATTAAGGAAATGATGTATTATGCACTTATTTCGTTAATTTTTATGGAATTAAATTGATAAATCAGTCCTACGCAGGACTGATTTCGTTAATTTTTATGGAATTTAATTGATTAAATTAAATTAATTTACGGAAGAGAAGTTAATTTGATTAATTCGTGTTATATTTGATTTCCGTACAGAATTGCATTGAAGTTTACATTAACGACTTCTCTTTCTCTCTCTCTCTTCCCTTTCCCACACTTTTCTTACACACACACGTTTTGTTGGGATTGAATTTAAGACTCTTTATACTTCGCCGAAATCATCTTAAATCGGGAATTTTATTTTGACTCGTACTTTTGCGTTATGTACAAACAAATGAATATAATTCAGCTCGTGGCGTTGATGCGTCGCCAACAGAAATAACAACAAGCACACAACAAGGTAAGGAGCTTCGACATGATGTGGGTATTGGCGTGCCGACATAATTGTGCCCGCATAATTACGGCGGTCGCGTCGTAGGTCGCAATATGTCTCGTCAAGGTCGCTGTGACATCGCCCAATGGCATTCGAAAAATCGGGTAAGTAACGAGAAGGAGCAAAACAGAAACGGGGAAAAGAAAGGAACCCGGCAATCGGGCCGGCCACGCCTTCTTTTCTCGCTATTAATGATTGCAAATATATACTGTTACGCGCGAAATAGGTGACGCGCAAAAAACGAAAATTTCACTTATTTGTAAACACGTTGAAACATGCGGTACTTATTACGATAAGTTATTACGTTCAACTCGAGTAATCGATACGAGAGTTTTTATCAACATTAAGGATAACTCGTACGCGAGATGAAGCATTTTATCAGGAATGTCTTTTAGTTTCTTCAGATAACATTTCTACGTTCTTCTTTTTAGAAGCAGAGTTTAATCTACAATGTGTTTTTCGCTTTCTGTTCGCTTTATCTCTTTCTCAAACCTTAAGGCAGAAGAAGAGAACAAGAAACGGGAAATAAAGAGCACATTGTAGATTAAACTTAGGCTGCGTTCGTTTTGGCGCCTACAACGAGCATCATTTCATCCTTGTTCTATCAAATACTAAACAAGGACAAATGATGCTTACACGCGCTATAAGCGCCAAAACGAACGCAGCCTTAAAGAAGTGTATTTTTGAGAATTGAAGTTTGGGGGGTGGAGATTCAAGCAATAAGTAGGGGGAGAGGAGTTAACGCGCTCCTAAGGAAAATTTAGCAATCGCTCTACTGAGAAAGCGAGCGATTCATTAAATGTTCGGCCTTTATGCACGTACGGTCACTGGCTGTGCATCGCGTCGCGCTGCCGCACGAGAGAGGAGCAGCCGAGAGGACCGAGACCTTGCGCTGCACCTGCTGCTCTCAGGTGTACGCGAGCGCGCCTTTTATCCGCGCGATCAGTGCATCTCTTTTCTCCTCGTCCTTTTGTACGAGCCGTACGAATGGGAACGCCGTGCGCCCGCTTCTCGGAGTTTGCGATTAATCGCCGCGTGCCCGATAATTTTCGACTAATTATTTCGATCGGTTGGCCGGCCGAGCGAATCTCCCTAAAAATAGTCTACGTGAGAATTGAAATATTATGAGCCAGCTTCTGTCACTACACGCGATCGATCGATCGCTCGGAAAGCAGCGGCGAAAGATATTTTCACGCATTTTCAATTTCCGATGCAGCTCACCAATTCGAAATAATCGACACTCTCCTGGGACTTATTTCTATCGATTCTTTGTTAATGAAAAACCTGGCTCAAATTGTCCGGATTATCATAAAATCTTAAGAAGATGAAATTTTAAGGGGAGGAAGTGGCGTCCAAATTGCATGAGTCCCTAATTTTTGCAAGGTTCTGGAGAGTAATTATTTCAAAATTTAATTGGTCAAAAGGTTTAGCAGTTAATATAGGAAACATATAGATAGACATTTTTTTATTTCATATGTATAAAAATTTAAAAAAAGCGGTTGAGTTAAAATAGTTTTCTGATAAAATATATCATTTATGAGACAACATACAAGTTGCACATGTCAAGAAAAGTGCTGCACTACGGTACTTTGGTTTAGCTCACAATGTATTTATATATCACAAATTTTATATATATATATATATATATAATATTTATATATTTTTTATATATATAAATATATTTATTTTATATATAAATTTATGTTATTTTATATATAATAATTATATATATATATATATATATATTTTTTTTTTATAATTATATATATATATATATATATATGTAATAATAAAATATATATATATATATAAATTCCAAATTTTAATAGCATTGGAGTGATTTAAACAAAACATGACAACGTAGTCGTTTATAAAGGTTTACGAAATTCCAAAATCTCTTTCGGAGAATTCTCTCCCAAGAGAGAGAGCGAACTGCTCGTATCGCTCCCGCGGATATGACAGCCATAACGACAAACCGTGATCATATCGGAGCACCGCATGTCGTTTTAAATTGCCTGGTACATCTGTGTAGTTAATTAACTCCCAAGCGGCAATGAGATCGATACGCGATCGGGGGACAAATCGTAACTTGAACTTGACAGTCGCAGGTGCGGAATCGCTTCTACGAAACGAGTTCCCTCAAGGTCATTGTCAGCCACGCCGCACTTCCGGTTGATATCTTTCGCATTCTGGGATGTCTAAATGGGACTGTCCTTCTTTTACGCGCCGGGCGAGCTTCTTCCGTCGATTCTTCTCTGTTTCGTCGGCGAAATACACGTGAAAGAAGGGAATGTCGATCGCGATAGAGTGTCGTCGTCTATCGTGACGGTGGCTGCTCGTTAAAATTAATTCGTCGCTGCATCGCCGATCGAGTGGCGCGACGTACCTGTTGGGAGGGGAATCAACAGGTAAACCGCAGCTAGAGAGTGAGATAGCGTCCCTCGTTTGACGACATCAATTTGACCAATTAGTGTCAATTATTTCGACTACGCGACTCTGCCTTCATGAATTTATGATCTTAACCGAGCGCCCGGTGTTTCATGCTAATACTTAATATGTCGGTGACGTAATATGTGGCGCACGACACGAATCGACGGCTCATCGATTGTCGCGGAATTCTGGTTGTAAGGCCAACTTCGGTTCGTTATCTTTTGTAGTCATTTCTCCTTTTTCTTCTTAGCAAACACTAAGAAAATTTGACTGGAAAATTTATTAATGAGATATAAAGAATATTCGCAGAATTTTTATTTTTTTCTCAGCGTA